TGCATTCAATTTTCTGTGACTTTCCCTATCTCCCTTGCATTTTGGTTCCCTTCTCTTCTCTGCTATTTGTAAGGCCTCGTTGGACAGCCACTTTGCTTTCTTGCATTTCCTTTTCTTTGGGATGGTTTTCGTTGCTGCCTCCTGTACAATGTTACAAGCCTCCATCCAAAGTTCTTCAGGCACTCTGTCCACCAAATCTAGTTCCTTAAATCTGTTCTTCAGTTTCCCTGTATACCCATAAGAGATTTGGTTTAGATTATACCTGACTAGCCCAGTGGTTTTTTCCTACTTTCTTCAGTTCAAGCTTGAGTTTTGCTATAAGAAGCTGATGATCAGACCCACAATCAGCTCCAGGTCTTGTTTTTGCAATTCTTTTTAATAGGAGTGTTTAAAATTATTTTAAATGCTTATGTGTTATTTTTTTGTTTTAATTCTCTTGTTTTAAATTGTTAAAAATTAACAAAAATCAAATTATTTTAAAATTTTTCATATGTCCGTTGTACCCACCCCAACATCTTATGACATTGTGCAGGATATATATACTCTAAATAAATATATTACTATAATATTAATCTAATGAAGGACATTGATTCACATCAACAGAATCAGAAAGAGGTTATCTGCCCTTCACACTACAGCACCTTTGCACTTAAAAAAAGTGCTCTACAGGGTTGGGAAACCTGTGGGAACTAGGCTTTGGGTAGTGCTGAAGAAGAACAGGGGCAATGCCAGCACCAGGATAAAGATAGAATTAGATCCATGTTATAGCATGAGCACCCTGATTGAATAAAGCCAACCAGCATGCCAAAGAACGCTTTGGCACAAGTGCTGATCTTAGTTATGCAAGTGGATTAACATATACATCCAAATCTACATTCAATATGATCTAACTGAACTGACTGGGTCCTTGGTCTAATCTAGACAATATTTCAGAATGTCTCTGTTTTGAATTATTGTCCACAATTAAATCTGTGCAGAGTGTTGTAATGGAATGGACCACAATTCTGATTGTTCCAATATTTCCACAAATGACCAATAACCATGAACAAAATATTGATTTCAGGTACCTGGAAGGAAACCATTTATCTGCTGTGCCTAAGGAGCTCTCCATGTTCAGACACTTGACATTGATGTAAGTATCATAGCAATTAGTGTCAGACTGACAAATGCATGATTTCCTTATTATGGCAGAATCCATTTTCTTTGAACGTAGAACACATGTATCCAACCTAGTATTTAAACAAGAAAGTATTGATCATTTTCACTAAAGTCTTACTGTTCAGTTCTGTATTTGTCATGGTGTCTACAGCAGGGATCTCCAAACTTTTCAGCATAAGGGCCACATCATATATTTTACATATTTTTGAGGGCCGAAGGAACATACACGCACACACACACACGCACACGGGCTGAAGGGAGTGGACCTGAGCCTGCAGTGTTTGCCGGGCTGGATAGAAAGGCAAGGTAGGCAAGATGTGGCCCACATAGTTTGGTCTGGAGGAAGAGAAGAAAACAGAGTTGCTGTTAGCTCTGCTGTTAAGGCATCATCGTCATGCTTTGTCTCTCCTCTTACTGTATCCCATCAGGGCAGCCATTCTACAGAACTTTCCTCTGTAAGTGTCCAACATCCCACAGCCACTTCATTAGCATATAGCAGAGAGAGAGAGAGAGAGAGAGAGAGAGAGAGCAATATTTCACCAGCTCAAATGAGACATCACCAATGTGTTGTTTCCCTTTGATCACAAAACAAACTTTCTATTTTAGTCACTCATTAGAGAAGATCCATATAATATTAAGAACTGGTCTCTGGGTATTTCTGCTGTCTCAACATCCCTTTCCCCTTCGTGTCACATCACTTTTAAATCAATTGCATTTTAAATCTATGGGCAGAGACTACCTTGTTCTTTTTTGAACTATAAGACCCTGTGGGAGCCTTTCTCCCAAAAAGTGAGATATGAATGGTTATACAAACAAACAAACAAAATAACAAACAGATAGTTTGTTCAGCCATAGTTTGCTGTAGTTAATTGATTTTATAGCTTTAATTTAATGCATTGGAGCCTGTTTTTAATAGCATCATTTAGCAAAGGTCTCTAGTATATGTTTGGAGAACACTTCGTTGAAGAAGGCTAACAGTGTATCTCACTGAGCACATCAGAGTTTTATGCAAATGTGTCTTTATTTTGAAACCTCGACTATGGCCACAAAATCAATGTACTGGTTTTAACCTAACCCATATCTTCCCCCATCAGCCTGTACCTGAGGCTTCTTTCAGAAGCTCAGCTCTGAATGCCTTCACAGACAGAGGTACCATGATTGGCTACTTGTCAGTTGATTCTTCCACATGGTAGTGCCCCTCCCTTAGTGGCAGGCCTTCCCCAGAGAGATTAATCTAGTACTACTCTCCTGGGGGGCGGGTGTCCTTTTATATTCACTGACTGTATAATCCTCTATAGTTCAGCTCCAATGTTCTGAAATAGTGTTGTAGTTTTAGATCTTCATAGTGTCGATATGTGTGCATTTATGTAGATTTTTGGCTTTTATTTCTGTCTTATTGTGCTTTACCCTAAGAGCTGTATAAGGCAACTAATCAATATAATTATAGATATATAACTGATTAGTGTGTTTTGCACACACACACACACACACACACACAAATACAAGCACTGTATTCCATTTATTCCATTTGACTGAATGCTGAGATAAACTTCCCCTCTCCCCAAATGCATCAATGAGGTATATTATATGTGCTTTTTCTTCCTAGTGACTTGAGTAACAACAGTATCAGCATGTTGGCCAATTACACCTTCAGTAATATGACACAGCTATCAACCCTGTAAGTAGTTAGTAGTTCTGGCATGGTCTCTAATTGCTGTTCAGCATGATGTCAGCAACATTAAGGAACAAGTATTTAATGTTTCTAAGTTAATGAATTCTGCTCTGCTTTTGGTGTTCTGTATATCAGTGGAAAAGGAATGTAATCTGTACTTTTTTATTCTTCTAGAATCCTGAGCTACAACAAACTTCGGTGTATCCCAGTCCATGCATTCAATGGCCTTAAGTCTCTACGAGTGCTGTAAGTATTGCTTTTTCAATGTCTAAAAACCTTCAGATTGCCAATCAGACAGTGTTCTCACCACATCAGATACTTTAACAGACAATAAGATCCAGGCTGCTTGATTTAAACTGTAGGTGCAATCCTTATGGGTCAGTACTTAGGCAGCTGGTGCCTAAATATGATTTTAAAATATGCTGTTTTGAAAAGCTCTGCATTACAGTGTCTGCAATGGTTACTCTAGGTTTTGATTGCATTGGTCAACACCTTTACCAGATGACAAGTTCAGTTGCTGAAGGACAATGTTATCCTCTAAGGCTGTGGTCTCCAACCTTGGGCCTCCAGATGTTCTTGGACTTCAACTCCCAGAAATCCTGGCCAGCAGAGGTGGTGGTGAAGGCTTCTGGGAGTTGTAGTCCAAGAACATCTGGAGGCCCAAGGTTGGGGACCATTGCTCTAAGGCTTGACTATATATAAAAATTATCCTTTGTCTTGTCTTAAAGGACCAGTTGAGAAACTAATTTTTTTTGTCAGTAATGCAGTGCATCAGCAACGATTTACTAGTCTTTAAAAAAAATCTTTTCCCCTGCTCCTCCACTGAGGCTTCAATTTGTTCAGTTTGCCAGTATCCTGAAGTGTTTTGCTTATGAAGCCACTTTCATGATATTGTAAATTCGAAATGGGAGAAACCTTGACAGCCAGAAGGCTCACTCATGGTCTTTTTCCAGCAATCACACCTGCTGCAGATGGAGCACCAAATCAGAGTGATCCTACTCATACCAAAAAAAAAAGAGTAGTAGCCTATGACAGGGTCTCAGAAAGACGTGGATAGGAATGCTCTGAGGACAATTTGGTCTGCTCCAGTTATTACATTGTGCAGTTGTTGGAAAAAGGAGTGAAACAACCTGTCCCTGCAGCAGACCAAACAGTGGGACAAATGCCGCCTCATCGAACCCTAACTAAATCTCTAGTAGTGAAAGACAAAATGTAACTGCCTAAGTAGTGTTTTGATAAAAATGCAGTCAACAGAGTGACTCCTGCCTCTGCATCTTTTGTAGCAAAGTAGCAGATGCCTTGTATATGCTCTCAGTATGCATCATAGTTGTGCTGATAAATAGAATGCCCAGCATGGCAATCTAAAACCAAGTGCAGAAGCTTGCCTTTGCCTGATTGGATGGTTACCACAAAGTTTTGTGTATGCTTAACCTAGGAAGGATAGAAGAAATTGCAGGGACTGTATCAGGCACATACACAGTAGCCTACATTCTTTTCTGCCCTTGGTGGTCATACCTTTTCTGCTATTGCTGCCATTCAGTCACAATTAAATGATACATGGAATGTAGGCTGTCAGAAGCACATAGTTCACACTTGCATAATCTTCTTTCTCCTGACATTTCGTAAATCTTCCTGTCTTCTCCTTCCTCATACAAGAGGCAGTGCACTTTTCTGAGATAAACAGCAGTTCTTGTGAGGTAGCTGGGGAAGAGGACAAGGCTGAGTGGTTGACAACTCATGAGATTGTTTCTGATCTGAGGCATGAGCTGCCAAATTATGGTGCAAGATGAGAATGTGCAGCATTTGCTGATGCCAACCTCATAAATGCAGAGTTCTTGTACACATATTAATTTCATTATGAATCTTGCCCTAAATTTGAGATCTCATTCAAGGCATCACATCAGTCTAGACACACTGAATCTGTGATTTTCAAAGCTAAGCCTATAGACATGGCTAGTGTTTCGATGGAAGACTGCCAGAGGATGCCAGAGATATCCAGGTAGTGCCAAGAAATAATCGTGAAACCCTGTAGAGCCAGTGTTAGGCAAAGTTGACAGTACTGGGCTAAGAGGACCAGTGATCTGAAAGAAAAAAATAAAGTTTCACAAAGAAACTTCCTGTACTACCAACTGCTGTGAAGCATTGGGTAACAAAATTTGGGGATAAGTGAGGCTTATTAAAATTATCTCTGCCTCCACTACAAATGGCAGGACAGGGATGCTAATCAAAGGCTGTTTCTTAAAAGTTAAGATGCTGGCTCCATGCTTGCTTTGGATCCAGATGCTGACTCCTTAGTGCATTATCATATCTTGAAGTAGCCTTTGCTCTGAGAAAGATAACATGTTCTGAATGGATCTGGCTCTTGCACTGAGAGTGTTAACATGAAGCTTTTTCAGATGCCAAACGAAGCATGGGTGAGTGTTTCTCTTTCTGAGTTCTGTAAGTTTGGAAGCCTCTAGATTGATTTGATTTATTATGGGCTACAAAACAGTGGTGTCAGCGACAACCCTCACCACATGTCATCTGCGTTGTTATTAAAAATCAATTCTCCTGAGGGGAAAAAGTGCTTCCAAGCGACAGTCTGCAATCTGTTAGTGTCATTTATTTATTATCAGGGTTCCCAAAAGTACCTCAGTAAGAAATAATCAGCAAAAGCATGTTGACATTTTCGGGTTTCTTTTTAGAGAGGACACATAGCTCATTGTCCGTCTCAGGCTGATGTACAGGTAGCCAGTCTCCTTCATGCATGAGCTATCCCTTTCTGAATTGTTTGGTTTTCCACAAAACATGCTCTATCAATATGGAAAGATAATGTCATCCTTAATACTAAACATAATAATAGGTAATATTATTTCTCTTAGTCACAATTTCTCTTAGCACATGATCAGATTTTACATTTTAAGTGACTTTTTAGAAGCGTATACATAACGGCGCAAGGTACAAGTACTGTATATGTACTGCTTTTTTCCATCTGTAATCATATTATTATTAGCCATTTGTTGTTGTTTTTTTTGGTGGGGTTGCTTTTGTGTGTGTGCATGTTTCTTTGCATAATGAGTAATTTGGAATTTTGAATAGGTTTTTTTAAAAAATATATATTCTTGGGGAAGTTATTTTTGGTTTTTAAAAGTTTACAAATTAATTTTTAAAATAACATATTTATAGCATGCTCTTAATATCTTTCTTCGAAGGTTGCCATGAAGGGTAACACATTTTGAATTTTTCAGCTAACAACTAATGTTAATACATCAGTCATTTTCACCAAAGTTTCTAAGCTGTGTTACTGTGTGAATGTAACAAAGAAAGCACATATAATAAAGTGCATAAGATAATGGATTATCTGCAATTCCTTCTCTTTAATTGCCACCTCAGTAGCAAACCTACATCTATTTCAATGCAATATACTATATTACATTTTACTGTAAATACTGTGTTAGCTTTTTGTCCTCCCAAAGGGAACTCAGATTCTAAGGTGGAAGGGCTTTGAAATTTTGAGAGTGATTTATGAGACGTGTAGTAATACTTACAAAACAAAACTGAGAACAGTATTTTTAAAAGTGCTGTCATTTTAACATGTTTAATGCAGTTACTGGAAATCAGTTTGCTGTATATTTTACTTAATTGCATATTTAGATATTGGCATAGAAATGTACTTGCTTTGCATGAAAGTATTGATATGTCTTTGTTCCTGTATTATTTAATAAATCCCTTAAAGTATAAAAATAAACTCAGGATTAAAACAAGAATAACATTTTCCCCTCTTGTGTTTCTGGTTAAAAACACAATCTAAAATGTTCAAGTACTAGCTGCTTAAAATGTCTGTGAGGGAAAAGCAAACAGATAACACATGTATTTAATGGCTTATCAGCTAGTCTAGGAAATTGTAGGTGACTGGAAATTACAACTGACTGATCTTGCTTCACACAAACCTGAAACTACAACTCTGGCTAGTTCTACCTAGTTTCTGATCCTGAGTAAGGTGATAATCTCAGCTAGTTCTGTGATAAACATAAATACTGACAGAACATTGCTGTTATACCTAATGGCTGGACTTTAAAACTGAAGACAACATGTTGAGGATTCCTATGCAGTTCAGAGCCCTAATTTTTAATTTTATTTTATTTTGGTGGGTGGAAAACTTGTATGGGCAGAGAAGATTCTCCTCTTCATATTTATCTGTCCACAAATGAAATCTTAGGATAGAAGGAGTGGTGATAACTAGCTCCCTTTGCTCATGCAATGATATTAACTCTATCTTGAATGTCTGGAGAAGGTGTGGTCTTTGAACAATTGGTATATTTTACTTTACTTTTGGGAGACTTAAGTTCTTAGGTTGCTCCTGAATTTTCCTTTAATATTCTTTATTCCATGTTCTTGTATGTCTTTGCATACTCATTCGAGGCTGGAAGAAAGATTATGTTCTTTGTGTGGTTTGCCTTTTTCCCTAATAGGAAACATCTTTCTCAAACCACATTAATTTGTGAAAGTGGCAAAATATCCTGTTTCCTAAGTTACATGTGCAGTAGGTCTTGAAAACACCTGTGAAACTTAACAGGGTACTTGATGGGCTTAACCAAATATCACATTATTCTCTCCTGTTCTAGGACTCTTCACGGCAATGATATTTCCAGTGTCCCTGAAGGGTCTTTTAATGATCTCCTGTCACTTTCCCACCTGTAAGTATTGTTACTCTCAACAGGCTGGTGAAGCTGCACAGATCATTCTGTGGAACTACAGTTATTTCATGTCGTTGTTACATTTCTGTGTGTTACCTTTGTGCAAATGTGATCTTAACCACAAATTTGAAGGCAGGGTACAAATATATTGTTTGAGATAACCAGCGGCCACCTGCATAACATTTTAATAAACATTTTGAATCTTAGACGATTTTCCATCAGATCTAAATGCCTAGACTTCAGCATTATGTGTTCTTATGCAGTTTGGTTGTATGTTTTTGATTCTTTTGTGATTGCTATATTCCATAACATCAATCTGCTGACATCTCTTTCATCCATGTAGCAGGATACATTGCCAATTTCTCCTCTTTGCTAGAAAGAAGACAGCAGGCAGAATGAGCTGTGATAAAGTTTGCAGTAGAAAACAGAAGCACAGACTTCAGTTAACATGGCAGAGATGGGCACAAGCTGCCACTTTGGAGGTTCAGCACAATTTAGTTACCGGCCACACAGTTGATCCAAGATTCACCACCCCACACCCTCTGGCAGGCAGACACTTGGAGGCAGTGCCCAGAGGAGGTGGGTCAGAGAAGCCAGATCGCTGCCTCTGAGTTAGCGTCTGCTGGAGGGGATGGGGTGCTGAACCATGGATCAACTGTGTGGCTGGTAAGCGAACTGCGCCAAACCAGTGGTTCATGTCCATCTCTAGATGTCAGCAGGGTTTTGCTACATGGATAATGCCAGAGTTCAACTTCATGCACGGTCATGCTGTTATAAGTTCCCTATAAGATGTTTTAAAAATTCTTATATTTCCCATATGCTACACCCAGGTATTTTGGTTGGGGGACAAATGTATAAACACATCTAATACACCATTGTAAGCAAGATGGGGGCTTTCTTCAACATGACAAATGATGGCAGAAAAAAGTCCCTATATTAAATTGGTCTAAATACAATGATATTTAAAATTAGTTGTAAAGTTAGAAATAAGATTAATAGGGCCCAAAAGTGTTGACCTAAAATTTCTTAAAGAACTCAATTCAAACTTTAAAGTTTGCAACCGTGTTTAAAACTCTCATATAATAAATTAAATCTCTGGTCCAAAAAAGGCATCATAGTCATGATAACTAGGATTCACATATGTCTTCCTGCTGGGATCCATTATTTATATTAGAAGGAAAGTTTGTCCAGTAGAGCACTTGAAAATTTAGAGATAAAGACTTTGATTTAAAAAGAAAAAGTTGTATTTAAGTAGTTCTTGAAACTTCAGCTCTTAATTAGCTCTTGACCTTCATTCAACCTCCTTCATTCATGTAAACTGCATTCCAAATAATGAGTGTAAAACTAGAATGTCTCGTTGTGGAATAAAATATTCTGGGTCAGTTAATTAGCTGGCTTTTGATTAGCACTAACATGATCTGTTTTCAGAGGAGATTATCATACTATGACTGAAGTCATACATCTAAATGTACTTCGGTTTTTCTTAGAATTTATGTTAATGTAAATACTGTATTATCATGTTGAATTACTCATATTGAAAAGTGGTAATTGTATTTTTAAACCAATAGAAAATGACAATTATCAGATCATAAGCCTAAGCTTAAGACATACAATACATATTTATTATTTGAATGAACTGCATCTCAGAGGCTTTGGGCAAGTTACAAATATTAATCCACAAGCCTATTACCATTATTAAAACCACTCTCATCCTACTCTAATATTGGTCACTTAAAATGATTAAAATAAAAATGTCTTACCCACATTATTATGCGGCCCGGACATTGGCTTTTTCAGCATGTGTGAGAGGAAGCCATCAATAACATACCTCTTTGCAGTATTTACATCCTGGTTGGGTACATAAATAATAAACTTAAGACGTGATAGTTGAGCGGGTCTATCTTCTGGTTAGGACTTTTAGCTCGAAATGAACAATCAAAGTTTTCAATTACAGCACCTTTTCTTGAAGAGTTATTAATTGCCCTGGCAAGCAAAAATCTTCCTCTCTCCTGAGATGGAGAGAGTGTTCAACTCACATGCTGTTGTCTTCAGCATGCAACCAGTGACTTCAGTGGGGAATCCAATAAAACTGACCCATTGACAGCAGGGAAAATTAAATTCCATGTCAATCATTGGTCTACCATGCTGAAATAAATGCAGGGAATTCTGCCTGTCTAATAGGCTGCATATTTATCACAACATGCTAATGATGACTTTTGGATGAGGACACCTAGCATCCATATAAACATGTAGATTCTGACCCTGTGGATGACACTGCGTATATACTACTTTTATATATTAATATATACAGTTCCATCAGTAATATCCCAATATTTATTTCAGTAGCTGAGAGCAGCATAGAGTATATGCAAGTGCCATGTTAATCTTTTCTCCATCATTAAATTATCTAGCTTCCTACCATGCCGACTTCCTATTTCTCCTTGTCAAGATAGCATTCAGCTCTTAGAAACTGTGCTGCTTAATGTGCAATCATGGGAATGTGGGGGATATTGTAGAAAATTTCTCCACTTCCTCCTTTCCAGTGCCTTTTATGGTATAGAGCTTAATTTGGAAGCCATAATTTATTAACAGCATGCAGGATCACCCAAGTTCCTATTGCTCCTGAGGCAGAGCAGCAAATGGTATCTCCCACCCAAGTAGGTCAAAGTATGTAATTCTTATAGTCAGACAAATTACATTCATGTCATCAGGTAGAAAATCCAGCAAAGAATAATGTTGGTCCCTCCCACCATTTCTAGGAAGAAAAATAAACAAAGAGCAAAGCAAATTGAAGATTTCCTATATTTCATGGCATTGAAAATTTATAATGGCTGATCAACTGGAGCACTCTGCCCCTCAGAGCATTCTGTCCCTCATATTATTAGAGCACTGTCCAACAAATGACATCCTCTAAGCAATTGACATAAAATTTAAATCCCTAAAGATTAAAACAAGTGGGGGGAAAGTAAAAACAAGAAAAAAACACCTTCATGTAAATTAAAATCACCTATTTTTATGTGCATAGCGTTTACAACCATGGGAAGTGGTGTGAATGCTTACAGAGTGACTGCTGTGGTTGGAAAAATGGAAGAGGCTCATTCTCTGCCCAATATTGCCAATAAATAAGTTGAGTAAAATGGCATCCATTAAAAAAAATAGTGGAATAGCTATATACCAAAGTGAAAACAAATCATTTGTGAGCAAAGAAGTGTGCAATACCACATTCTCTGATTGTTCTGCCAATCAAATTGAAGGACTTGAGAGCTAAACCTATAAACAAATTGGTTTGGAAAATAGTCACTGAAGAGTGAAAGTAGCATTGTAAAAACTTCCTTCAGGAAGGAAGTGGGCAAAATGGTACTTGTGAGAACTTAACACCAGTCCTGAGGTAGATTCCACCTTGAATGTAACAAATAAGTTCAGGGGGAAGGGGGTGAATTCCTTTCAGTTCTTCTCTTTCATTTTTAGTAACTTGTCTTAATCAATACAAATATGTAGATAAATGTAGAATCCAAGTACATATATGTGTGTTTGCATGTGTACCAGCTCACATCAGGCTAAAGTGCTTTTGGTCTATATGAAATGTAGGCATAAAGTTGATCACTTCAAGGCAACATTGCTATTGTGCTTATTTAATTTAGATGGATGAACCCCTGCTGATAATTCAACTCATGAACTCTCAGCATGAATTTGTCTAGAGCAGAGTTGTTTAATCAGTCATGTCTGTGGAATTATATCAACAACATGAATGGAATTTCATCTGTCCGTATTCCATTGGCCTTCTCCCCCATCCCCGAGCACTTTTAAGCATGAACTTTAGTTTCAGAAATTATCTGTGTTATCTCTAATGGGAAAGGTCAATACCCCAAATTAATGTTTGATCGTGTGTCTGTGTCTGTGTCTGTGTGTCTGTGTGTCTCTGTGTGTGTAAAAATAATTCCCTAACTTTCTCTCTTGGGATGGAATCCAACTTTATATTTTTCCTCTACAGGAACTTGTACTATGCTCTCCTGTGGAGTATAAACTCCATTTTAAAACTAAATTAAGGCCATTGTAATAGTTGTCCTTTATCTTTGGGTCTGCAGCAAGAATTTCTTTTCTGGAAGACAGACAATTTGAGAAAGAAGGGCTCAACAGCCTAAATCTAATTGTCGGTCACAAGTATGGTAAATCCTTTGAACCAATGGGAACTTTACAATTCAACACTAAAAAAATAAACTATTTTAATTCATTGTGTCTAGTCCAGTTGGGAATAATAACTGGATTTAAGCCACTTTTATTTTACGTCTCTTGGACTTTTTGTTAGTGGTCAAATGAGTCACTTAGTGGATATGTCAATCCATCAAGCTTGGTACCTAGTCAGCTAAGAATAAATGCACTGGCCTGAAGCAAATGACTGGGGGGAAAACAACTGATATAAGTATTAGTTATATTAAGACTGCAGTTTTCTACCCATACATTACCTCCATTAAAAAAGTCCATCAATTAGACATTTACTTCTGAGTAGAAATGTAGAAGATTGTGCTTTATTCCTTCAATCCTATACACATTTCCTGAGAGCACATTCTGGTCAACTCAGTGGTTTCTAGTTTTGAGTAGTCTTTGATGGGATTGCAATAAAAACACAATGGTTTTTGCACACTATATTATCAAATAAACCTCTCTTTGAAACAAATTAGCCGAGTTTTAAAAAATAGATGATACAAACTGCAAATGAGCAGTGAACAGCAAATCTAAAATGCCCCAAAAAAGCTATCATGGCAACCTAACCCTTTGCTTGACATCGTGAAGTTATTAGGATATTAAAAATAATCAGTAAGATGGTGATATGATATGAATTGGCAACATGCAGCACATCCATTTAGTAATGAACTGTGATGCATTATGGAAAGAAAAAGTTAGAAATTAGAGCAAGCATAAAAGCAAGTGTTTGGCAGAATGATATGTAGAAATATAGAAATTGATATGATAGTGTTTTACAGGTTGAATTTAGTTGAATATCAATGGAGGGCAGGAAGCAATCAGGGGGGAAAGCATTCATGGAAAGATTAATATGCCTCATTGTTTGATAGTGGTTTTCTCACACTGCTGTCCTTAGAATCAGGATTAGCTTCTTTTCCCTGAGACATATTTGCCCTAACATCAAAGAATAAGAGAAACTAATTGGCACCTTTGTTTCATGTATAATATCAAGGTCCTATCCAGCCATATATTGAATGAGATACAACTAGAATTTTTTTGAAGCTAGTGCATAAGAAAAAGCACGTAGAAAAGAGGCTTGATGATTTCTCAAGGTTTGCAGATGGTGGACCTAGATTCTTCTTCATCTACATTCAAATTAGGCAAAATATATCCCCATTTGAACAGGACAGCACTCTGCCAAACTAAAAGATAAAGCAAAGTTGGCTTGTTCGTCTGCAGATGTTGAGCACCCTGGGCTAATGTGTAGACAGGCATACCTGGATGGGATGCTAGGTCAAGGCAAAACTTTTGTTTGGACAGTACATAGTATTCAACACAGCTAACAGGCACTGAGGGTATGAATCAACAAGGTATTAGAGGACAAAGGTGGGTGGGTGCCATACACCCTTGCCTTGTGGGACCTGCTCTCCTCAGTCCGTAGAGGGGAAGCTGTCCCATGCTTAGTGCTGAAGCAGGGTTCTGCTGCAGTCCACTTGACTTCCATATTTAGAGTGCTGGAGTTTTTGTACTTTGCCTCAGGTAAAAAAACTGTATTGGGTCAGACCTGTAATAAGTTGACTGTGAAGGAAAAACTCTTCTGCCTGCTCTTCTTATTCCTTTGTAGGCTGCTCCTGCCAAGGATGGTGGCATATCTACTTTTTAGTGATGAATTGTTCTTTGTACTACTTAACAGAAGCAAGAGTGTTAGTGGGCATAAGGAAGGACAAGAGAAGACAAATTGCATATCAGGAACCAACAGTAGAGATTAAAGATGCAAATTGATTCTTAATTGGTTTTTCTTTTAATCACATATCCTTAAAAATGTAACTATATTGCAGTTTTGATCAAATCAGAGCAATACTTTTAAGGACTGTTTGACAAACTGTGTTGGTTGCATCTTGTTTATTTTTTAAACCCTCCTTAGGGCTCTCGGTACCAACCCTCTGCATTGTGATTGCCACCTACACTGGCTTTCTGAATGGGTGAAGGCAGGGTATAAAGAACCGGGGATTGCACGGTGCAGCACTCCAGATGACATGGCAGACAGGTTGCTGCTAACGACACCAACCCACCACTTTCAGTGCAAAGGTAAGTAAGAGCCAGCTCTTAGTGCATAGTGTGATTTATATGGTATTCCATGCCCTTTTCCACATTGTAGAAATGCAATTCCTCATATGAACGTTGTCTATTTGCCTATCTTGCTCTCCACATACTTCATATTGGCTGGAACCCAGTAGTAACTCACCACTAGAGCAGGCCCGCTGAATCACTGGGAATTTAGTGACTCAACTCACCTGTACATTTTCACGTCTACTCTAGTAGCAGAACACTACTGGTTTTCAGCCACTGTTTGCTACTTGATGCTTTTCACTGGAAATATCAAGTGTTGAACATGGGACCTTTTGCATGAAAACACAAGACCTGCAACAAAATTATCCTATCTCTCAACCAATAGGAGCCAGGGTCATTGCTCTCTTGAAGATTGTCTCTGTCCCTAGTATGTGCTATGACTCTTCTTCTGGGGTAGAACAGATTGTTAGCTCAACTGTACATCAATCTTAAATAAATAAAGGAATAAATAATCTTTACTGTAACTATACAGCTCCTCCTGCCAATAATAAAAGCTCCCCTGTAGCAAGGTTGGGGCACGAGGTAGCTTGCAATCATCTTGGTGCACATCAATCTTTTTTTATCTGAATGGAATGCTGTGTGAATGGATTTTAAATAAAAAGGGTGGGATGCAAGAGTATAGATAGTTTTAAAAAGGGTACTTAAGGATAAAGTCTTTGTAAACAAACATCTTGGCTCAGAGACAAAGACTACATAATTTGTTCTCTCTTTGACTAGACACTGCATGGCTGAGCTACCTTTATTTTGCTTTCCAAAGGGAATTTTGTTGCCATTGTCTCCAGTTTAAGAGAGCCCTGAAAAACAACTTATTCCTGGGGGAGGGAAACATTATGGATACAAATCTGTATCCTATTTAACTTTTGTTTTAACATAATGAGTTTGACTGTGACTATTTATCTTTGGTTAAACGTTTTCAACTCTCGGTTGAAGGATTTGACAAGGTTTATGCTCTGTCTCTTTCACGGTCCATTTTATTGATTAAACATTTTTAGGCAAAAGGAAGTTAATTTTCATTGCTATCGTACAGAAAGTGAGTGTATGTCTGTGTCTGTTTTCTAAATTAGAAGCTGCGGAGGCCTCAATTTTTGAAAGCCTACAATTTCCATATTGACAAATAGGCATACCTATAGGCTGGGTTGTCATCCACCGCTAATTGCAGATAGATTGAATGAAGACCGTAATTGCACGCAGCAAGCCACCTACTGTCTTTCAGGCAGTTTGTTTAGATCACAGACTCACACATAGTTTCCAAATTGTAGTGTGCTCCGTATAGCAAACTATGGCACTGTGTTCTTCGTGTGGGACAATGTGTGTTTTTATGTATTTGTGTGCTTTTAATTATGGTATGTTTACATTTGCATATGTTTGTTTTGTTTCCTCATTTAATTGGGAAATTGTAGGGGGGAAAGGCAACCACTTACTACCCTGTTTCCCCGATAATAAGACCTAACCTGAAAATAAGCCTCAGTATGATTTTTCAGGATGCTCGTAATATAAGCCCTACCCCAAAAATAAGCCCCAGTTAAGTTAAACCCTGCCCTCTACCATTGTGCAGCAACCAGATGACATGACTGTAAAATAAAACATCCCCTGAAAATAAGCCCTAATGCGTTTTTGGA